GGCTTGTTTACAGCGCACAAACAATCAAATGGCTCCGAATTTGGGCTATGTGTATACAATATTACTCCAAACTATGTTATGTAAAAAGTTCCCAAAACTTATGTGTCCTAATATCCGTTCTCGAATTTGTTGTTTTCTAGACCAACTACCAAACCAACTGGGTTAGTTCGGAGCATATATATCGGAGAGTTCACATAAGTTTTGGACCTTTTTGATTTGGACGATTAGAACGGTCAAAAATCTTATATATAAAGCTGAATGTCTGTCTGTATGTCTGTATGTCTGTCTGTACGTATGTGAGAATAGAAATTTTTATTTCTGAACCGATTTGGACCAAACTTGGCACACATATACTTCGGGCCCCGGCGGGTGTCATAGGCTACTTTTCGTCATCGATCGATATCGAAAAGTGGACTATGACACGATCCCTGCCCCGAAGTGTATGTGTGCAAAGTTTGGTCCCGGGCGGAGCCGGGTTTGCCATCTAGTCTATCATATAGTGAAGAGAGCGGGTCAAACCGTTGCCTCTCCCCTTTTTTGAGTCAAAAGTAGTATAATTCTACGCGTTGATAGATATCGCGCTCCAATCACTTGCGGTGTCCTTTGAAATATGTGGCGAAAAATGCATCGCAGGATTGTTGAGGCTACAGATTTGGTTGGCCTAGGAGATTTTCGACATTTCCAGCATCAAAATGGTACTATACCCAATGGCAGAGCCTTTGATCGACTCGAAATGTTTTCTTTTTGCTTTTTTGTTATATTACATACCTCAAAATGCGCTTTTTTCGCTTTTTTGTTGCTATTTTGGTTGAATAAGAGTTTCCCTACTGATTTTCACGTCGAGAGGGACTTCGTAAATTTTCGCGAAGTCATGGGGGACTTCGTTTCCTAAAAACCTCCAAACCAACGCGTGCTGGGCCCTAGCAAGTGACTTACTTTCATTTGTAAATTATCACAATCGGAATTGGAAGAATAACCAAACATTTTCTGAATTTTGCAATCGAATTAGCTTCAGGAAATTTTTATCTAGTAGTGCGGCTTCGGCCACTCATCTTCGTTCAAATTTTGGCATAAGCTTGCCAGTCGAGAAGCGTTCAAGAAATTTTCCGGAGATCCTGTTTTCGCTGTCTTCTCCTTCTCCATCCCTCCCCCCCCCCCCGATAAATCACCCACATAAATCATTTTTTTACGTGAATCTGCTTCAATCCCGATCTAGAAAACATACTAAACTTCACCTTCTTTTTTGTTATAGTTCGTGTGCCGTAAGATCGCTTCTATGTTCAAATTTTTTTCTTCTTTTTACTCCTATTCTTCCCTTATATTTAACTTATTGCTGCTTATCGCTTGAGTTATGCCTCTGTTTTTTTTTATAAAAGGTAATTCGTAGCATTGCAATTTAACTGTGACTTTTTTTCAAATTCAAAGGTATCGTCTTGTACTGAGCTCTGTTCACAAGGCTGTTGTCCGGAACTCTTCAGTTCGCGTTTAATAGAAGAGCACTTAAACAACGGTTTAGTGATAAAAAATGATAAAAAATAAAAAAAAAATAAAAATAAAAAATATATATATATATAAATTGATAAAAAATTGCGAAAACTTTTTCGGTAAATTTACTGAATGAGTGAGAACTTGTCAAGTCGATTATGACGTTTAGTTTTTTTTTTCAGATACAAAAGTGCTAAAAATGTTTTTTTCAGCGAAAAACAGACGTAAAACCTCATTTCGAATCTATGAACACTATTTTGCTAATAAATTTTGAAGCCGCTCTTATTTAACAGCCTGCTGATGACATATATTTTCGTTGTAAGGCACACTTCTCATTTTCTTTCTTCGCAAAGCTCATACATTCTCTTGAACTAGGTACATGATCATATCAGTGCTGTACATATGATATTCAAATATTTGCCTAGTCTGAGGTGTTTTTTTATAAAGAAAGTCTCGTGTTGAGAAAAGTTCACAACAACTTCTGCAATAGTGCCACCGCTTCATAAAAAAATGTTCCTGCACTAACTTCCCAAAAAAATTGAATAGACCACTTTAGCACTTGACTGACTTCATGCAGTGTCCGCTTATCTGAGTCTCTTGGGATTGGCGCATTACTTGAATACTCTATCTTTCGCAGCGAACTTCTTTCAGAATCATGGGACTACATAATTTTCCACAAATGATAGTCTTGGGTGCAATTTCATCGTTCTCAATAATTAAGCGAAGCATTTGCATTGCTAAGAATGACTAAAGCTACAATCTTTGCTTTTGAAGTTGTATGGCTCTCGGAATCGACCTCTATCTCTGTTTTAAATGTTCATGTTCAAGTTTCGCATGTTTTCCAAATTTTTCGACTCTATCCTTTGTCTTCGACCGCTTTTTACGTTTTATTTCAGCAAAATGTAATTTGGTGCTCTAATCTTTTTCTGCTTTTTTCATAATGTTTTTGTTGCACTCTTGATATGGAGGATTCTTGGGTATTTCATCTTTTATGCAGCAACTAACCCTTTAATTCAACAATGGCAGCTTTAAGGCGACCGCTCGCGTCCGCGACGCAGTCTGCGTCCACTTCGCGAACGTGCTCTCTGATCATTCTCCAGCCTCAACTAAGTCACGCCCCGCCCTCCAGCCGCCAATATAGTTGAATCAGATGGTATAAGATTTTCTGCTTCATTTTTGTGTTGTACTGTTAGCCACAGGAAACTAGAAGTGGTTTCCTACAGTTCATGTTTATTTCAAGCTACAACGCGCGGTTCTTCAACTAGGATGAAGCGCTGGCGCGAGGGAGGGAGAAATCGAGGGGGGGGGGGGAGATTAACTTACATTTTGTGGTGAAGGGATTTTCACTGAAAAAAGATGCAGATATTTAGCAAGTTAATAGTTGTTTTTTCAAGTTACTACCAAAGCAGTGAGATGAAAGACGAAGCAAAGCACTGGCGCGATGGAGGAGAAAGTCGATGGGGGCGGGGACAGACCAGCTTACACTTTGTGATGAAGGGATTTTCACTGAAAAATGCAGATATTTAGCAAGTTAATAATTGTTTTTTCAAGTCACTATCAAAGCAGTAGATCACGAAATCGCTTGGCTAACCTTCATAAAAGTACGTCTGTCCCAAAAAAACCAAGAAAATTCAGAATGTCTTATTCATAGAAATCTACGCAGGAGGAATTAAGGATTTTTGGTTGTCAATCATTTATTTTCTCCATTTCTTTCTCTGCATCTTGTTGATTCGTCAAGGTTTCGTTTTAGCTAAGAAAATCAAAGCATCAAGCTGTGGATTGTGTTCGACAAAAATCCCCCACCTAAAAGCATGCTTTAACTCCAACTTGATATTGCATCACATTTAGGAAGACCAATTGCGTGGGAAATAACGCTGTGGTCAGAAAACTAATACGATAATGTATGGGCATTTTTCTGTGCGTCTAAAGTACTGCATCAAATCGGGTTCGTTATTTTATACGCTACATTAGTCAGCTTGCCTTCTTCTGGTCCGACTTGCTATTTCCGTTTTCGTAAATTCAGTATAATTGCATTGCTAAAAACCAACTGTTCCAAATGGGATACTGAAAGTCAACCGAAACTTCAGGGACAAGCAAAATTTACAGCAGTTGCAGGATTTTGTTTACTATTGTAAAAGTAGACGCTAAAAAGGGATCTTCTGCAGGATTTTCACGTTAGAGTGATTGAAAACGGGAACTTCCGCAAGACTTTGTTACATAGCGCTGCGGAAATTCCGAAAAATGCCAATGGTTCCGCAGCACTTTGACCTGCCAGTACCTCCGATTTCGAGATCAATGCAGTTTCCGCGCTGAAAACTACTGTGGAATGCGTTCCAGCGGGTTGATCTCCGAATTTTGCTATTTTTGAAAATTATACGAAAGTCATGCATTTTCGTAGACTGTCTTATCAGTATCAAAGTCAATTACTTCCACGCATGAAAGGCTTTTGAAAAAAATCTATGCAAAAAGTTCTTTGCTATAACAAATGCATTAGTCGCACGTTCAATTCTTTGGAAGTATGCTTTTCTCAGAAGAAACCAGGGTTTCGCAATTGTTGAATTGTAAAATGATACTCAATGATATCCAAACGCAAGCAAACTCCCCCTCCATCCCCACCCCTTCGTCTTCTAGCGTATTTGCCTCACTAGGCTTGCTTACAGCGCTTTTCAAAGTAGAGGTCCCAAGAATGTTTCCACCATTATCTGCAAAAGCCTAATTCCAAATTCAGTCTCTGCTTTACTGCAAATTGAATCTCTTTCGAATCTTCCCACAGCATTGTTTTACATCGTCTTGCTAGGATATCGGGAAAAATTTGCATCTCTTCTCCTTCAAGTCTGTGCCCATTATCTTCTTTGTTTATTGTTCTTTTATACCGTTATTACTCAGACAATTCACCGGAACTTGGAACTTCAGCAAGACGAGCAAAACATGAGTGGTTTCGCAAAATTTTGTTTACTATTACAACTGTGGAAAGAAAATGGGAACTTCCTCTTTACGTTAGACTGGTTGAAAACTGGAACTTCCGCGGGACTTTTTACAAAGCGCTGCGGAAATTTTGCAAAAATACCAGCGGTTCCGCAGCACTTTGACTTCCCACCACTTCCGTAGAATTTTAGAATGTGTTGTCTCTTATGATATTGACCTGCCAACAGTACAGTGCATTAACGAACATGTCATCCTTAGTGCAGACGATAGTAAGGGAGTTTCACAGCCAAAAGAGCAAGGTTTGAATTTTATTAGATGTTCTCCTTTGCTGTTGTGACTCGCATTCCTCGGAACTTCCGCAGCACCTCATTTGGGGAATTCTGTAGGTGACGGTTGACCTGGCGGAACTTCTCCAAACGCGGAAATTCCGGTCAGTTGTTTGAGTAGATATTTTATCACCAAGATTCAAGCCTTCATTATGATCTCACGACTTTGATTGTCCTATAATCTTCTCTACCCATAGCTTCTGCAATTTTATACATCGTAACCATTAAATCGCTCACGAGTTAGTTCAATTTACTCAGTTTCAGATGGCTTTAAAAGACGAAATAAAGTTTGAAAAAGAAGTCGATCGCATCGAAGCTGAGTTAGGCGATGATCATCTTGTCCGTATGCTACGATACTTGACGACAAGTTCACCTGATGCCAGCCAGGGCTTGTTAGATTTGCATTTTGAGGTTGGTTAGTGAGAAATTTTCCTAAACTTACCATAAATATTTACTATTTAGTGTCGAAACGTCTTATCAAAGTTGCCACCGATGAAAGGTGAGGCGGACAATGCAAAGAAAAGGACACAAGGAACAATAAATAACAGTAAGTTGATTTGCAAGTTGTCACCAAAACTCTTACCGATTTTTCTGCATTTTTTCATGTGTGAAAAGTTTACGGGAAGTTGCGCAAAAGGTTCTAAGATCCAGTGGTAGAATGAAGTGCCACGAAAGTTTCCGTTTCCACTTGCTGTGCTTAAATTCCAGCGCAAATTGCAAATTCTTACTCTAGCATGCACTCTTTTCTAGAAAAGAAAATCCTGCGAAACCACTAACTTGTATTACGAAGTTCCTGTGAACTTTTCGAGTAGAAACATTTTTATTATCGAATATTCCAGGGCAGAGCACAGTTCCTGCACCACCGCGGCCAAATCGAGTAAAGACTGAGGTGAGCATTTTATTTTTAGCTGATCAGCTTAAAATCAACTTTCTTTTAATAAAAGTCGCACTAACTTACTAGCTGAGAGGCTGCACTGGCCGCGCTTTGCTGTCTGCGTCCCTGCCCTCCAAGCTTTCTCTATGCGACTCATAGGCGTCGCGGGCCATCGCAGTCTCTAGCGCGCGTTCAACTCTCTGGTACTGTTGTAGCATGTGAAACTACAGTACATATTTCAGAAGCCACGAATAATGCTGACAAAGAGGACGAATTCAATTCCGATGAATACACAGAAGAACATAGCAACTTAATTTCTTTCATTACTAACGGGCTCATCTCACTAAAATACTACCATGCACACCTTTTACTCGAATGCAATTGGTTTTTGTTTTTCGGTCTTTTAAGAGACAATGTCTTTTTTGCGTTTCCATGTAAGCTGCTTGATTGCCGTTTGAAGTGCATGAACCACACACATATCGGGAAACAGAAAAACTCCATCTTAGCTTGACGAGGAAGCAAAACCTTATACTTACATATTACTTCCATTTCGTTGAGCTCTACCACGAAACGTTTGCGGAAATTTTTGGGGCAATTGGTAAGCAATTTCAAATTCATGGGATTAAATGTTATGTGAAGTTGCTAGCCAAGTTGAATTATATGTACTGGCATTTTTTTTCAAATTATTACTACGAGCGTTCCAATGATTTGGTTGATAATTGCTAAACTCTTGTTAGGTAATAAGAACTTTATAAAAATTCGATTGGTTTCAACAAGCTTAGATTTGTTTCCGCAAAGTCTCTAACTTTCTATTTGATATATGCAGCTGCAAAAAGCAATAGAAGGCTCAACTAGATTCTACTTGCTGATCTTTCATAAAATCTCATTTCGTTAAAATTTGGAGTTTTCAACCATCAGAGGGTGCAAGTGGTACAGAATCTCAAATTTCATGTTCTGGATATTGCCATCTACTACTCCATATCGTGTAGAAGATTCTGAGTTTTCTGACTTCCTTATTGTGAAGTTCCTGATCCCTTTAATTCTTTTGTAATTCAAACTTGCATACAGATACCTATTTACAATTTTTGGAGAGAAATTACCACGTTTAGTTATTAAAGTTATTTAGCCAGATTTGATAGTACTACACTAAATGTTTTGATGAAATTTTTTTGGAACGATCCATGAGTTTCTGTCTATAAATCATAGGACTGGATTATATTTACGCAGGACCATGACAGACTATTTTTAGACTGTTATTACTGCATTCACTCGAGCCAATCTCTATGTACAATGCATTTTTCTCTCCCTCTTCATTTTTTTTCCTCTCATACTTTTCAAGGAGTGTCGGCCACTTATTTTCCTGTCATCTGAATGACTCTACATCAAGAGTGGCTAAGGAATTCAATATACAACATATAATTCATATTTGGTGTGTAGACAATTATAGTGGAATCAGAAGTGCGAGTATGAAAACATAGAATATTTTCTGACCGAATATGAGAATATCGAATATACACTCAAATGTGGAGTGATATGTGGCTCAATGCTCAAAAGTGTTCCACTTCTTTGACGATAAAGTATCAGAATAAAATTTCATTCTTGAATTTGGCAAATATGCAGTTGGAGGTATTTTGCTCCAAAAAAGTAGATCAAAACACCTTAAGTGCAAAAGGACAACCTCCAGAGTTTCTTTATTTTTCTAGATTTGACGCTTGACATGGTCCGACTTCTTTTAGGTTAATGTTTATAAGGATGGCCATGCACAAAATTTCCATCTGCAATGAAAAAGGTGTGACAGGGAAATTTCTATATGGCGCTTGTCCGCGCAAGTATAGCAGAGTTTGGAAATTTTATCGCTGAAACATTTATTTTGAATTTTTGGCCTGTATATACAACGTCGCGTTTTGGAACTTTTGAAAGATTAGGAATTGTAACATTCATAGCAACCGCAGATTAAGTAGTTGCAGTTCTCAGCAAAATAGCTGCAGTTCTAGAGACTTTTTGGGAGTTTTCAATAGACGAATATGATTTTAATCCTTGGATTTAGAAAATTCAAAAAAAGTCTTTGCAAATCCCCCACACTGAGACAACAGAACACTTCTGTCGGCCACTAGGCATTTGCCAGCCTTGACTAAAGTGCACAATTTAACCTAGATAACCACACTTGAGAAGTGCTGACATCGTTGCGTATATCGTAAATTAGCCGCGTAGTCGCGGACCACCCGCACAGGCACCTTATGGGATGTTTTGAAAGGTGACCAGCACTCGGCATCTTCTAAGGTCCGAGCTGCCCCCGTCTAACGACCGTCCTCGCCGTGTGGAGAACAATCGCACTGGAGCACCTCGAGAACCAACTGTATTGTTAGCAGCAATTACGACACTCGTCTTGGCCCTGAGACACTCGTTACTCAACCCACCCACCCAATGAGTAACAACATTCCTGAAAGATCGTGATAATTTTATTCAAGGATGAAGAGATAGATTCAAATTTCAAAAGACGAAACATGTGAAGCTTAGTTTCAAGGTTTTCGTTATTTGAGAAGAATTGAAGTAGATTTTAATTGAACAATGACTCCAGTGGATCAAAGAAGTGTGTGTTCAACAAAAAGAAAACTTGTAATGTGAATTTACGTGGTGCAAATGATTTGTTCTTGCTTGTAAGTGAGAAAAATATCTTTTTTCAAGAATGTTAGTTTTGTAGATTATATTTGGGGGAGTGGTTCAGAGAAAAATTAGAAGTTTTAGATGGCACCTGAAACAAAGTTCTCTTAGAATTTAGTAGGCCATCAGTTAGGCTCCTCTCTAGCAAGTAGGAAGCAATTATTACATTGTGGCTTACAAAATGTTTAAATGGTTTGATCTGGCTCAAGATCCTTTGGATGCACGTACTTTACGAAATTCATAACATATCACTATCATATACACCATTCTACTCATAAATTGTTTGACATGCAATTTCGAAATTCTATGACAATTTGCGTAGCAGATATCCAGCTGAAATTATTTTGAGGATGTAGCTTCAAGCCTCTATCACATATCGAATGATTTCAGTGATTTCCATCATCAATAAATGAACTATGCCCTTATATGGACAACCTTCTAAAAGTCAACATGTAGTAAGTGCACAATGATTTCCATCATCAGTAAATGAACTATGCCCTTATATGGACAAACTTTCAAAAGTCTTCTAATTTGAATTTCTAAGTTTCGTTCTCAAACATGTAGTAAGTGCACAGACTAGTTTGACGATTGTATATATATTAGATTGTTGCATAAGTTCTGTCCGATTTGAATTTTTTGAGTTCAAAATGTCATAACTTCTTTCAAAGTCAACTTTATCCAAGATCTCAGTTTCCTTGTGTTGACAGTTTCTTGGCCATGAAATACATGATGAGACCTGTGCAAATCCTTGTTAAGGAAGAAGCAAGAATGCAAAAACTTCACAGCGTTTTTCTTCAAACTTGTCGTTTTTGACATGGCAATGCTTTATGAGAAGTGATAGGCATATTGTTCAACAATAAATAGATAGAGAATTTTTCGTAGATTATTTTGCGCCATAAAAGAGCCCATAGAATCTGCATTGCCGGGATATTTTTTTGACCGAACAAAAAATTAGCCACTTTTTGACCTCGCTTCAGCGCACGTTTGCATGCCTATTTACGAGTTATGAAAATTTTACAATTAACGTAAGCGCCGAAAAAGAATTGGTGGATGGGTCCTGCTAGCTCTTGCTTTACCCTAGCACCTCCAACTTTGAAGTCGTCGATTACTTCTATTCGCAGAAAGTTATAGCTTGAAAAACATCTATACAGAAAATCAATGTTCGACGACAAATTTCACTAGCAAGACGTTTTCCTCATGGAACCGAACTTAGGCATATATTAGCCTTCTACACTCTTATTCCGCAGCTAATGGAAGAACTTGACTTGAAGGGCGCATTGTGGAGATTTCATCGCAGAAACATATTTCTAGGGTAGGAACGTACCTCGGCCACTTGGAAACTTTAGGCCTGAAATCTCCTTACATCAAGTAATTTATTAAAATTTGATATGCTTCAGAAAGTGCAAGAAAAGCACTTTCTAAAGGTACCAACAATATCGCATTTGACATGAAACTGTCTTAGAACAGCTGCTTCAAACATGAGGCAAAAAAAATCGGACAGAACTTATGCAACAACCTAATATATACAAGCTTTGGCTACATGGTGAACTACAATGAAGGTTGTGATCTAGTGTTCGTCAATTTGCAGACAATGTGAGAATTTTCAGGTATTTCGCGTGGAAGTCAGTTCTTGGCATTCCAGGTTTTTGGCAATAATTAGATCATTGGCTTACGGCAACTTTCACCCTAAACACGAAAAGAGGCGTTATTTCAACAAATGAATACGATATTCGCGTTTAGCGGTCACATAAACTCCAATATACAATGTCTTGAGGAATTCTAAAGTTCCGATGCTTTAGTCGTTGACGGCTGTTCACAGCAGCTTGCATACAGCAACTTGTTGAGCTTCGTGAGGGCGCCAAATCTCTTGTTGTTTTATACTCCATTTCTTTCTTTTTGAGTCAAATGAGCCAACCTGTAGCAACAATATGCACAGCTGCAAATCGCTGTGCATGATCTAGGCTGCAAACTTCATTCTGCTTATAACCTCATAAATCTTCAAATTCCACAAGTAATCCAAAACTTTCAAGTTCTTCTTATTTCTTGTACAAAAATCAAATGATTTGTGCGCAGCTGTATCTCATACTGCGTTTTACACACCGCCAAAGTTTGAGTGCGTTGCAAAGAGAAAAATGCTGTGGAAGAAGTTGCAAAACTCAGTTTCCAATCTATATATTGCTAGACAGTAGTGCTGCAGACCAAGCAGTCATCAAGGAAACTCATTATGAGAATGAAGTTTTGCTGACTAACTATCGTATCATAGCCCTATTGTAGACTGCAAACTAGCTTTCACCATGCTATCTTATTCCGAAGGGGGAGTTTTAGGCTAGACAACTGACTTAAGAACCAGAATGCTTGAAATCAACCTTAGCTTGAGATGATCAACGGTATCAGCACGTCAAAGGACGCCGGAGCGCAAGCGTGATGTGAACATTAGCATTATTATGGATTTTGAATTTGGCTCAGACAAGCATGAAGTTATCTAAGATGCACTCATTCTGCTTTATGACGATTCATTAGACCTGCCCAGTGTAGAATGCAGTATTATATCGGTCCCAAGAGAACAGCGCAAAACGCATTCTTTTCAGCTTAGCTGATGATCATATCAACATCACTTTCGGTGTGCGCATTGATGCCAGGATAAAAAAGGGAG